AAACGAGATTTGATATAGAATTGGCAAAAACTGCTCTGAATGGCTCTTTTGAGATGAATTCGCAAGCATATCTAATGTAGGCTTCCTTATTCTACGAACCACAGTACCTTTATCTGTGTAAACCCCACGAAAAGAGCATTTAAATAGCTCTGAATGGCTCATTCCGGTGAAGCTCTCACACATATCTGATTTCTACTGGAGAGGTTTCTTCTGTCTCAAAACGCATTACTTTTCTCTTTGTGTAGACGCCACAAAAACAGCAATGACCTATTAATGTTCGCAACGAATACAACCGTTTGGAATGTGCCGAGTATTCGGCTTACACATATAAGGATTTTCTGTAAAACAAAAGCTCCAGAGAGGGCTGACACGATACATATGGGTTACGGAATTAAGCGTGGTCAGGGGTCCGAGCAATCTTCGCACGAATTTCAGTAATGCGGATGCTGAATAAAATTTCAAGAGTCCAGCCCATAAAAATAGGCGTCCCCACCAGTTTATTGGAAGCGGAAGTATGTCCATAGTACCCTAGTAGGAAAGAGAGTCGAACCTGATATGCTTCTGTTGTGCACCTATTTGCAAAAGAGTGCTGAGTCCCAGCTATACTAAGCTATTTCCAAATTTCGTAGCAACTTCTGGCTCTCATTTTCTAGCTACAGAAAAAAAAACACTGGCGCAGATCGGCAAAGGGAGAAGGGAGGAGGTGGGCATCTCGTACTTTTGCTACTTCCCATCGACGTGTCGAGCCATCACGTGGATAGCTGTGAAACCTTGTGAAGCCGCGAAATGATACCAGCCAAAGTTTGTAAAAACCACTTGTCAACTCTTGTAAGAGAAGAATCACATTAAGGAATACCATACTATGGTGGCTCGCCGAGGCTTGCTCCAGCTTCGCAAATGTTCACAGGTTCACCAAAGTGTGACTTCCAAAACTGGTGAAGCGCTGAAGGTACAAAATGCTCCCTGTCTCCGAATTGCGCCATGAACTGTTAAGTCACTATAGTTATGAACCCTCCAGTTCTGTAAAAGCACACTAGGAAAATAGGCGATAGTTCTTGTGTGCAGCCGTTGAGCAATGAAGGTTAGGGAACAGTTGAAAGGTATGCATCAACCTAATTTATGCCTTGAGAAGTGGGATCACCCACGGGTTCCCCTCTTGCTTTGAATAATATGAGATGTAGACTTATGCTGGAAAAAACACAGAGCACATATGGTTCGATCCGCCCCTTAGCCTCAGAATGAGGAAGAGGAACCAACGTTGTTTTTTCAACTTCTTGTTACACTTACCGGATTTGTGACAATGGCTGCTGATGAAGCTTCTGCGAGCATAGACATCACGATGTGTATGTATCGTTCGAAATGTACTCCAATCGCCAGAGCTATGTCACCAAAACATCCGAGAATTGTCACTTTCACATCTTTGTCAAGCCGTGGACTCTGAAACATTCAAAATACAGCCAAAATAACAAAGTAGAAAAGACATGCTGCACTCCAGGGAAATAAAAGAACCCACTTAACAAAAATTCGCACTAATCAAGGGATATGATGTAGAATCTTGTTCACTGCGGTTGACAATGCGTGTCACGGGGGTGGGTTTGGCCATTTTCCACCAACTGTTATCGCTTGCTCGCTTCAACAACTAGGGGAGAACGAGTTGATGACGAGACAAACCCTGCTCCATGACAGGCTCCATCATTCGCAGCAAATAGAACTGTATTTGTCAACTTTTCAGAAGAACACAGGGAGACAGTAAATCCAAAAACTATAGCTTCGCTTGCTCAGGGAGCACAAACAACCCAATAATGATGATTTATCTCTTTTCAGCTTCCACCCAATGAGCAAAACTACCAGTTTATAGATCAGTTGACTACGTCGGTTTCCCTGAGGCTATAAGTGGACGGACAACCGTTTTTGTGATAAACACCTTCTTCGCTAACCCCATCATGAAACGCGTGATGGGGATAGCGAAGACGTTGCCATCTCTAAATGTTCAAGGAAATCCAAGTTTTTGAGACGAACCTGCAGACTTTGAACAAGTGTATTCATGATATCATCAAGAGCCGGTGCAATATTCACTTCAATGGCACGACACATATCCGTCACCAACCCCACCGCAGCAGCGCACACCTTAAAGAGACCCCATTCGTAGTAAACTGGTACTCACAAATTTCAGTGATCACATACTTGTGGTTCTTCATGGTTGGAGAGAGCTCTCATGAGATGAGGTTTCAGTGCATCAATGTAAGCGATAAATCCGTTGTTCAGGGCTAAAAATTATGGTTTTATACAGGAAGGTAAAAAAGTATTTCAAAAAAAAGCAATGCCGCGTTGATACTCTGCGTTAGGCTGCGTTCTACTTCGCGTGAACCTTCTAAGCGTACCTCAACGTCTTGAGCGTTGCGAGCGTACGCCAGCGCTTTCAGAGACTGCCCGCAAAAAGCAGAACTACCAACAGAACGCTCAAAACGCTTGACCGATATTTTTACTTTTCTAGTCGCCCAAAACTCTGATGAACGCTCATCCGATGTTGCAAAGCATGAACGGCCACTAAAAGGTAAACAGGAAAGTAAAAACCAAGGTAGTTACTTTCTGCCAAGACAGAGACCGCCAAGAGCGCTTCTTCCATCACACTTCCACCTCCTTTGTTGTTCTGAAGTACGATTCATGATCTGTACCAGCCCATTCATTACATGCTCTCCAACCAGAGCCGCATCTTCGGGACGCATCTTACGCAGCACTGACTGTAGTGTAGCACACAACAGCGATTGGAGGTCCATCAGTTGGTTCTATAAAATTATACAATTCAAAAAGCCTTTGAAAATGCCCAAAGAAATAAGTCAAAAGACCTTGTCAGAACTAGATGTTGTAGTTGCCTCCATATTCAACAACTGTTCCAGCTTCTTCAACATCAACACGGTGGTATTCTGTACAACTGGATAGCAGTCTTTGGGTGAGTTCTTGATGAGTTCCATCAAAGTTTCAAAGGCGGCAAGCCGCAGGTTTGACTGGTTACCATCAGTTCTATAATGAAATGAGGCTTTATGAAAAAGGAATGTAACTCTCTTCGGTTTGAGCACTGAACCGAACCTGTCAGTTGTTTTGATCAACTCGCTGACCATAGCTTCGAAACAAGGAGAAAGGGCATAGGTGTCAGGCTGTCCAGTGCTATCTGTTCCTTGACCACAGGCCATGTCATACGCTGTTTTGACGAGAGCAACCAAAGCCTTGAAATAACAAATATCAAAAAGCTGTCACGCAGACTTGTCAGAACAGAACAACTGACCCAACAAACATTAGCTGCTACACGCGGTTCTTGGTGAAGCCCATTGCTAAGAGCTGGGAGCAGTCGTGCTAACATGCCATCCTTATTGACAATTTCTGGACAGATCTCAAGCACTCGTCCGATCGTCCATGCAGCGGTGTCTCGAATGGTTACCTGAAGTTTTTCAACTGAATCAATATTGATTGGGCGCATTGGCTAAGAAAGTATGAGGTGCGGGTTCGAGTCCCGCCTAAGGTGAATTTTTTCCTATAACTCAGCATCCATTGGATCTATATAACTTTACAGAACTAACACCAGAGTTCAGCGACCCAAAACTATACGAATCAGAGCGCAACGCAGTTTTAAAAGGTGATATTCGCAGCTCACGACGCTGGAGAAACGCGGAAGGCAGACTTTGGAAATCCGCGAAAACCCAAGTATACCTGCCTATTGATTATAAGAACCAAAAATTCTGAGAACCTAGGAAAAAAATACAAGAATCGATTGTTCTCTAATCGATTTCGTTTTCCGGTTGATCGGAGGCAATCGAAACGTGATCATTGCTTTTTTTAAGCATTCTTCAGTCCTCCAACACTCCGATCGATATGTATACTTTCCTCTTCGAGATTTCAAAAATCTCTCAAATTTCTAGTGTCAAAAAATGCAAGTGCGGCCGAACCCGGTGAAATGTCTACTCAGCTGTGGCTCCCAGGCCCGGGAATCTTGACCCGCATGAAAAGTCAGTGGTGATGAACAGAAATGTTGCGCTGCAAAACACCGTTTAGGCTGCGTTCAGACTTGGCGATGACGCGCTACCATGTGATAGCTTTCCAGTGCCATAGACGACGGACCCGATTCTTCGGGAGAGTATATGAAAGGGCACCAGACAGTCTGATTAGACGTCATAAAATAGAAAGATTTGCAGTGCGGTTGCAAAACAGCAATGTTGTCATTTTTTAACGCATAGTCACAGAGTGTGGCGCCCTACTATACTTTCCCAAAGAACCAGCTGTCGGGGCCAATCTATTCCTCTACAGCATCGGAGCATGATTACAATGGTAGCGCGTCATCACGGAATCTGAGCGAGGCTTTTCTTTTAAAATTTCCATATTTTTAGTAAAGAAAAAAATTTTACGCGTACATTTTTCTCAGCCATGCTATCGATCAGCGCAGGCATTGCTTGGTCAACCAATGTCATCAATTTTGCAGGATCTGGTCCGTCAAGAATACTTCCGAACGCCATGATAGCCGCTTCCTGAACGTAAAAAATAGTACTGCTGGGTGATAGCACATCGAGCAGGACTGAGCCCTTCTCAGTCACCATCCCACCTTATATTTCCAGTCCGTACTACTGAAATGCTTGAGGAAAGGCATGACAGATTCGAGAATTGTATCACCAACGCATTGTGCCATTAACATAATACAAACGCCAGCCGCTTTCGATGGAGTCCAATCATCATCGTCGTCATTTTCATCTGAAAGCTTCATACTAAAGTAAAGTATGACATTTCCACAACAAAGGACGAAAAGAAACCTTGATGTGTAAGAATTTCAAGCATCAAAGGGCAGATATGGGAAACAGCTCCTTTGGCATAGTGCCGCGATACCTGCTCCGGAACTCTGTTATTTTCAGCGGCCTAGAATACCAACATGAGAAATAACAATTTTGACTAAGAGAACAGAATGATGTGTATCACCTCCTCGGCTTCCAAGCTCAAGGTTATTTCCTCTTCGCACACGTTGGACCAGAATTCTATGCCTTGTAAAGCAACTTCCGGCACTTCTGAGTTGATCGCTTGCAACGAAATCTAGAACAAAGGGCAGGATAAGTGCAATTTACAGCGTCAATGTGACTCATATGCGTTTTTTACACTGTATATTGTTCCCGTCTGTAATCCTGACTGTTCTACATGACATGGTCCTCTTGAACACGCACTTCGCACTCTGACGTTATCGCAAGAATGCTGAGCTATGGGCAAAAATTTATCAGTAATTCTTGTCGTAAATTTCAGAGCGCGGACTTCGCCGTTAACAGTTATCATACTCAAAGAACCTTAGAAACTTGTAAAACCTTCGGGCTCGTTCTTACCGATATCCAGCGATTACGGCTGACCGGCTCACCAAGTTAAACGTGTGAGTGCTGTAAGGCTACGGCATAAGCCGTTAAGCTGAGAGGGTAAAAGCGGCCCTGGTGGCGTAACGGATAGCGCACTCGCCCGGAAAGCGTGATCGGGTTCGACTCCCGCCTGGGGGCACGACTTTTGCCCATAACTCAGCACTCTTAAGATAATTGTTCGAGACAGTGTTATAATTCTTAACGTTCCTTCATTACTGGTGGACAAAAAATGCTTAGGTAATCCAGGCACAAGCACAAGTGGCGTATAGCGGATTTCAGCCGAAAAGTGTAGCAATCAGGTACGCCGTAATCGCTGGGGGAACCCTGTGGGGAGTCGTCCTGATCGCTGGGGAGAACACTGGTATCCGACGCCACTTCCTTTTAAAATGTTTGATAATGATAACTGCTGTTTACACCAGCAGCTACGCTCTCCGATCATTCAAGAATGGTGAAGTTATGCGGCAAAAAAATCAGATCCCAGGCGGGAACAGAGCCTCCACTTCACGGTTACCGAGCGAGTGTGCTATCCATTACGCAGATTTTCCCAGGTAACTGCAATAACTCTGGAAAATGTCCGGGAGTTCGGAGAATTTAGATAGACAGTAGGTAGGACAGAAAAAGGGGATGCAAGAAGAGGAAAATGGAGGGGTCGAACTGAAACCGCCGTTTCTTTATGAGTGTAACAGCCACGCAAAGTAAAAACGATCTGTTCTGACATCGGCCAAGGCAAAACTTACCGCAAAGAGTGCGGATCCCATGTACTGCTCCATATACTGATAGTAGAGCGACATTATTCTGACAAGACACTGTAGAGCAGCGACTTTCACATGGGTGTCAGTACATTGCGTAGCTTCACAGACAACTTGCATTATTATATGCCTTTCCGCCTGAAATGTAGGAAAAGTTGGATCAGGTCAACTAGCTGGATGGAAATTCCTCCCTTTCCTGCCGCCATATCAACTGACAATTTAAGAAACAACCCATTAATTTCAGGAAGGCCCCACTTACCTCCATTCCAAAGTTCTTTTTAGTAAACTCCAGCGAGTTCAACAGGGCATTCGTGGCAGCCAGACGTACATGAAACGATGGCTCCTCTTTCCGCATGCCATGTACTATTGCCGTCAAAATCGAGTTGGATTGTTGCTCAAGTACCTTAAAAGAAAACAGCATGAAAACTGAGAAATTTAAACACCTGAGTAAACAAGAACAAGAAAAGAAACGTACTGCAGCGTCAATGTCTTGACAGATATACCCAAGAGTTTCAAGAGACGACTCCTTCAACGATGCAGTACTTCCAGGATTCGTCACACTAGTACGTAAGGCGTCGATGACATCTGGCCACAGCTTAAACGGAAATATGAAATTTCGACAAGGAGGCAATGAAAGGAAATCCTCGTGAGTCGCTGAAGAGGGAAGATCATGCTTGATGGGGGATTTCCCACCAATACGAATGGTTTTTTGGGCAGGATTCTGAGGTTTTTGGCCTATTCCGCTTCAGGGCCACGAGTATTTGCCTCGAGAAGTTGCTGAGACCAAAAGTGTGAAACTTTTCCAAAGGGTCCTTTGATAATTGGTAGATTCACCAGTGAGCGAATACCCAGCAGCATCCGCGGTCCTGGCGCGCCGGTAAAAGGCCCTGGGCCAAATCTTGAATGAACAATGCTAGTCAGGAAACTCACACCGGATGGAAGTTCTGCGCAGGCGATTGCAGCCACACACTGAGCTGCAATAGAAGGCCGGAAAGGCTCAGTGCCAAGTGTTTGTACAACGAAGACAGTTTGACATGAGTACGAATATCGCTGGTAGCGCGAAGCTCAGCGCTGAAATTAGAGACGAAGGAATTCCATGTAGTTCCTGCGGCTTGTGAAGAACGTGGCGAACGAAAGTAGCTTTCGCCATGAATTAGGGAAAAAGATGAGCACTGATAAACCACTCCAAAACAGGTTATTTGCTCGGATTAATAAATACGAGCTGCTGTTTGTTATTTCTTTGTTATTTCACAAACACCGGGAGTGTCACTGAGGTAGACTCGATGAAATAAAGACCCTCAGCTAAGGTGGCCTGGCAAAACAATTGAGGCAAGGCGCACCAGAAAAAGGGGTATTAAGAGGCGCGTATCAGTAAAAAAAATCGTCAAAAACTTCATAAACTTTTTCTATCTGAGAGTAATGTACGAGCCTGTTGTGTAGAGCCACGCGGTTCGACAAGTGTCTGCGATCTTGACGCTATAAGGACCTAAGCTTCGCGACTGCAGCGCTTTAGTCGCGCGTACAACGCGATCGATGCGCATGCTTTCGACTGCATCGATGGCGTCGAATGCGCGACCGAAACGCTGCCGTCGCGAAGTCTGAACGCTGCCTGAGGGATGAGCAGACCCTGCGCCTGCGGTATGGAAACTTCCAGTGAAAAGCACCTGAATTATGCTCCACAGCAACCTATTTGGCTGTGGACCTCCTTTATAAAAGGGAATACATCTTTATAAGAAGTAATCATACGCCCTGGAACCACAATAAAAAATCCACCTGCTAGAGGAGCAACCATCTTTCCCATTATCTTGATGTTGAAACTGACTAATTGACCCAGCTTATACTGAAAGCGGAATGCAAAATAAGGAAGATAATGCAGCTCTTGGGCAAGTTATAATGATCATTGCACATATGAAAAAGATTAATTCTGAGCCATTGTCCCGGGGATGAAGTGGGCGTGGCTGCAAGCTCCATATGAGCCCAGCGTAGGACACTCTCATAGGACGTATCCTTTTGAGACAACCGTCACACTGTCTTCCGCCATGTATGATACATTTGTATCAAAATGCAACCAGAAGCACATCTCTACGTTCAGATGAAGCACGCATCCACACCTTCCCAATCATCGGGATACATCCTGTATTTATGGAATTGTTGCTTTATAGTATCACCACACCAGACAAGTATAGCAAGTAAAGCGGTCGCGAAGTGGGAAAAATCTCATTAAACAGACCTGTTGAGGTACTGAGCACGAGTTTCTTCTTCCTTCGCATAGAGGACATTCTTCAACTGCAAACCAGCTGCTTGGCGAGCAAATGGTTGACAACTTTCCGATCGAAGGATTACGCTCAACTCTTTGACGAAAGCAGGCTAAAAATTATATGGATGAGTTGGTTTACCACGGAAAAAGCTCTGGCCAAAATGGATGCCTCAAGGTTTTCTTTAGTTCGACACATTCAATTTAGTTTACGTACAATGCAAGTTAAGAAATTCTCGCAGCTAAGAAATTCGATCAACTTACGAAATCTCGCGTTGACGCGTCATTTAGGAACTCTAGCGCCCTCTTCTGATCTTCCTGATCTGTAAGCTACCGTTTGAGGATAGAAATTGTGAAAAAACCAAACCGTATTGAAAATGTATTCAAAAAGGGCTTTGAGACGAAGTGACTTACTTTGAGAAATAGTTTTCTGCAGCACGTCTAGCAATAATTGGGCCATTTTTAAGAAAGGCACCAGAAACTAACGAAGAAAGGATACCTAAATCGTAAATAGAGATCGAAAGACGCACAAACGTCTCAATAAAAATGTTATTCCTAAGGCGCGGCAATTCTCGACAAAACCAACTCAAACGTGTAGGAACAGGGTAGGATTAGCGATTCATTCAATATCGAGGGATGTTCTAGGCTTAATGATGTCCGATCGTAAGAGAAAACATATCAAAAGAACTACCAACGAAGAATTTAACCAATATTTTCAGCTCTTCGGAATTCATTCCCCTACTATTTGAAATTTACCGCGATTTAGCATGACTAAGAGGGTAATCGTTGCAGGACCTCAAAGTCGCTCAGTTGAACACTTGGCGCCGTGCCATTTTTGCGGCTCTCGTTGAAGATCCATTTTTTCCTATTAATTTATGTATGAAGTAGCTGTCGTCGGCTCCAGTAAAGTGAATAGTTAGTCCGCGGTGATTTTGGGAACATGCAGATCTCTCCATCTATTGTGTAGAACACAACGAAGGTTTGCCCTCAGCAAAAGCTTTCTTTCGATTGCTGGTTTCTCCCATATCACGAGATTTTTCCCATATTCTCCCTACTTGGCGGTACGATAAAGTGCGATTGTTGACCGGAACTGTCTGTCTCCCTTCCTTTGCTGGACGCCAAAACTTTGGGAGGATACAGAAGATAGTAGTTCGATTGTGAAAGGAGCCGTTCCGAATGAGAAAGCGTGGTGGAGCGAGGGGCCGCATCTTGTCAAAATTCCACACTATCCGTAATGGTGTGGCTTTTCAGCCACACCAGAGCTCTTTCCTCCTTCCACACAAAACCAGGGGTATGTGACAAGACAGTTGTAATACGCCGTGACGTGGCGAGCGCAGCGAGCGACTGTCTTGTCACATACCCTTGTCACGCCGCGCATGCGAGGACGGGTTGTCCTGCCTAGCCGTTTGAATTTTGAATATTAAAGGAAAAGTTCGATATCACTAATAAGCATGAGGTCTTCACTGTCGCATAATTGCAGACTGACTCTCTCCACTATAAGTTCATCGAAATCAGGGATAAGAAAACTAGCTTTTCCTTCGAAGACTGAAAGTCTTTCTATGCGGATGGGCGTTGTGGCAAAAAATTCCTGGCGCACCGCGTTTTTGATAAGGAAACCACGGCATTCCGTCCCGATCTCTGAAATACGACGGTTTTTAGCGCCACCAAAAACCATGACAAGCATTGTTCTTCCACAACAAGGGTGCGAAAAGATGTTGATGAGCCAATGGATGGGGATCCTTGATTGGTCCTGAGGTAATGAGCGCCGGGGTTGATAAACTACTTCCTGCCTTCTTGCTGGAACAGCGAGGTTTTTTTCTTAGCAATGCGGGGGCTCACGCGGAGCGCGTGGAGACTAGTTGTGTGTGCAATAAAATAGTTTTGGTGGGTGCACCTGCCACCGCTCCCTGTTGCAGGGGCTATCCCTTCTGAAAATTCTGTACTTTCTAGGGTTTACCTGGGGCACAGCACCTGAGGGATGAAACACAATGGAGTGTATTTGGTCGCTTGAGGGAAGATTATCATCTTTCGTGAAAGAATATTCTATACTATTTTAGATTCTACTTTCGCGTGTGTTTTATTCCAGTAACCCTTCCACTCGCTTAACGGCCAAATTTTGATATGAATCGCTGCCATCAGTCGGGGCGGTGTCAAGAGGGGCGGAAAGGAGAGACGGGCAAGAGAATCGTGATTTGCCGCTCCGCCGCGCGCGGCGATGGCGCGGCGTTTTCTTAACTCGTGTTAACCTGTCGACTGGAGCACCGGACTTCATGTAGACCCCGTCGTCGTAGACATTCATGACTATTTTCGGTTCTGAATTGCCTGTTGTCGCCATCTACTACCTGGAAACCATCGTCATTTGCGGGCGCGACGTCGCACGCGACGCCCACCAGCGCTTCAAATTACGATTCTCTTGTCACATACCCGGCGAAAAGAGCCCTCCTTGCCTCCCTCGCCCAATAATGATCGGCTAGTGGACAATTTAGGAGGAAA